AGGGTCAGTCTTCCTTTGTGCAGGATTTCTTTGTCCCGCAGCCTGCTGGAAACTCTGCACAGTGCTTTAAGGTGGCAGAATGTGGTGCCTTTATCACCACAGAAGCCATCAGGAAGTGGCACCGTTCTAGGAAACCCTTTCACTATAAGAATGGGGACAACAGACGACCAGCTGGGACCCTTTTTATTCCCCAGGGCTTGTTCGATTCCATGTCAACCTGCGCTGGCTTCGTCATTTCAAGTCATATAAGGGAGGGTTGTTTTTTTTAAGTTGCATTAAACCGTGGATTTCAAAAACTCCTGCTAGAAGTAAATTGCAGCTTATCTTAGGGAGATGCATTAAATATTTACGAGATTGCTGAAGTGCAGTAGTTTTGAAGACTTAATCATCTCTGCTAATGTAGAAACGTGCAAAAATGTTTTGGCATTTCTGGGCCCCACTGACAAGTCATTAACTTACATGTATCTAGAACTGTAATTTATCAGCACCTGGCCATTGGATGCAGCAGTAATAATTTCTGTTTTCAACTGTGGTCCTCAATTAGTACAAATCATGCTCTTTCCCATTTCAGTCTTGTTTTTGTACAGCTCACTAGGCTTTTACAAGGGAAAAAAATCTAGGTATGCTTCTGACTGGTTAAGCAATTTCTCTTTGCAAGAGGATATTCTTGGATTCACTCATGGGCAATGCTATTTTCCAATTTTATTGTCAGAATGTAAGGGCTTAGGAAGCAGAAGTGTGAGCGGAAGCCCGAAGGTGTATGTGTGCATGCGTGTGCCTACATGTGTCTAGTCATTTATGTAACACTGGCAGCCAGGCCCGTCATGAGTCGCCGTCCCCTGCACGTCAGCGAGTTTGACTCTGCTTCATGTTTACCCACCTCACAGGTTGGAGCTGGGCCAGAGGTACCAGGCAGCCAGGGTAGACGGACAGACATAAATCATTGTGTACTAAGGGAGTGGGGCTGGGGGTGGGGGTGGGGAGTAAGGTGGGAACAGCAGTTGTTCAAGGGCCTGTCCTCCTGTTTCATTCACAGCGGTGAAAAGGAGTGCCATTTTCACCTGTGATTGGGAGTACATTTTAGGATGATACTATAAACATTTTTTTCTCTCTATGAAGCCAATCTAGTTGTAAAAATCTACCCTTCTGCACTAGGCAGTATCTCATTTCTCTCAAGTTTGTACGAAGTCTCCATTAATACATCATTTATCATTTTAACAATGTTAACAAAACATTTGCAAAACCCAGCTGACTCTTGGGAGTCTGCATACACCAGTTCCCATGGGGACTGGATTAAGGTTCTGTATCTGCAGGTGACATGCATGGTCAGTTGTACGACATCAAACTGAAAATGCTTATTAGTGTTGGGAATAGAAGAATTCAGATAGTATTTCTTTTTCTTCTGGGGATATTTAAATTTAAGACTTCACTGCCTGCCTTTCCATATTTGCTTTTGTTTTGGGACTTTTGTAGCTCCATGCCCCTACAGGGGCAAGCCACAGTATTCCCGAAATTAAATAAGAATTAACTCCTAAATCCATTAAAGACTGGGTTTGAGCATTTATGAAACTAATCTCAAATGTATTTATATGTCTTAAATGAGCTGAAAAATGTGTAGTTCATGGGTAGGGGGGAAAAATCCTTCCTTCATTAAGACTGTTTGATCTTGGACTGTTTGCTTCCCGGTCACTGGTTACAGCTGTGCCTGGGACTCAGCCAGTTGGTGCTGGAGTCAGAATTTACAGGGCTGTAGGATGAAAGCACCTTGGCTTTAGAGATGGGCCTGGGTATAATCCTGACTCAGTGACTTAACTAGCTGTGTGACTTCAACCTCTCTGAACCTCAGTTTCCTGATCTGTTGGGATATAATAACTGACAAAGATGACATTTCTAATGTACCCAGCACAGCATCTGACATAAAGTTGAGCATGTTCCCAGGTGGTGGGCTGTTATTATATTCCTTTACTTGACCCCACTCTGCCTCATGGGGTGTATGATGGTGGCGACTTTTGAGTCAAGATTAAACCCAGGGCCATCTGCCAAAAGGTAGTTTAGACAATACGTGTGTGTGTGTGTGTGTGTGTGTGTGTGTATGTGTGTTTTGCTAGTGTAAATCCTCACCTGATCTCTGGAATTAGAAGAAAGAAACCAAAGTGGATTTGAAAATATTTTCATTTCACAGATATGTATGTGTTTAATACTGGTCTATGTTTATTGGTCATCTGATTTTAAAAAATAGTAAATTTAAAAATCATGTTTAATTCAGAAAAAAGGATGAGTTTACCAAACAGAGAATTATGGAAGTATTTAGCCAGTTTGTAGCCACTTCATTTCTTAAACAACAAGATCTGGACTATTTGAGGCATGGATCCTCCCTCCCCTCCCCTCTCCACATCTTGCCATTTCCATAGAAGCTGCAGAGCAGGATCTGGGATTCTAAACTATGTAGGTCAAATATTTGTCCTAAGGAGAAGCCCTGGACTAGGAAGAAGGAGATCTAAATTTTCATTGTAGAGCTGCTGCCAGCTGACATTGGCCTGGGCAGAGAATTTTGGTCCATGGTCCTCAGTTTCCTTATGTGTAAAATGACCCTGGTTCAGAAGTTTTCTCACACACATTCAGTTCTGAAACTCCATTTTATTCTATTGCAAATCTCTGTCTCATGCACTAGCATGATTTTAAATAAACCCCATGTCTGAAATTTCCTGCATTTCTCTAAGCCACAGATCTAAACATGTGTTAACTTAAATGCCCAGCCTTTGGAGGGTAACTGATGTCATCACCCCAATATTACAGAGAAAACCAAGGGACCAGGAGGAAGGCGAGTTGTTCACAGTTGCTCTTCCACACAAAGGATTTAGAGAGGATATTTTACTTGCCCTAGAGTCCTGAGGTCCCCCCTGGATCTGGAGGTTCAACTATTGAGAAAAAGTAAGAGAGTGGCTTGAGGCAGGAGGATTTGGACTTTCTAAGCAGACATGAACTTGATTAAAAGGCAAAAAAAATATTATTTTCTGAATTTGGCAGTTGGCATCTCCTAATGTCTTTTATTGTAAATTTAATTTTTTTTCATAGGCAACATAAATTTTAGGCAGCCTAGAAACGAAGAGTTTTAAAGTGAGAAAGTTTTTATTTCAGAAGAAAACAATCATCACATGATTGTGTGCTTTGGAAAAACAGTCCAACAAAGGACTGGAATTGGGTCAAGTGTTGGGAATGGCTCGCCACTGCTGGTAGTGACTTTTCCCAAAGCCACAGGGGTTGGGGGAGTTTGCTGGATAGAATGGAGGCAGTTGTTTCTCCCTTTGAGGATTGTAGTGTCTCACTTGTGTCTGCTTGCCTGTAGAAGGAGCATTCTAAATTGTCATCTCTGAGAGTAGGCACAGTTCTCCCCGTTCCCCGTCTTCACTGGAGGGTCTCAGGTACGTGGCCATGCTCGCCCCCCGACAGGTATGGCCAGACCTGTGTTTATACAGACTCTGGGGTGCTAAGAATGTCTGGAAAGTTGGGATGTGTTACTGAGTGTGAAATGAGCTGTTGGATTACCAGCATGCCTTCATTCATCCAGGGACTTGCAGACATTGTTATGATAGAAAATCTAGAAAACCTGGCCCCCAGAAGAAGAAAAGTCCTTCTTTCCTTGAGCCCCTTTCCCCCGCCTGGGGAGTCCGCTGCTGCTTGTGCAAAGGAAACCACATTTCTCCTCCCATCCTGCCGCCGCCGCCTGGGAAGGGAGCTGCCCAGCAGACTGGCTGCCTCGCCTCGCCTCGCCTCGCCTCGCCCGCACTGCAACCCTCTGCTGCTGGGTTCCCAGGACCCGCAGCTTCTCCCGGCGTGGAGCCGCCCCCAGGCCTCCTTGATTAGGATATGTCAGGGTTGTCAGGGCAACTCTGAAGGGCAGCGGATCAGATTTTCCCCTCTGCTGTGTGCTGAATATTTTCCTGTGCCGTAGCAGGAAGAAGACTGGGGAAAGGTACTGCAGCAGGAAGGAGAAGCTGGGATGTGATTAAACAGGTTAGGCAGCGGACGGAGGCATCTGAACCTGTGTTCCTTTACTAGGGTGTTTCTGGAAGGAGAGAGAGAGAGAGAGAGAGAGAGAGAGAGAGAGAGAGAGAGTGTGTGTGTGTGTGTGTGTGTGTGTGTGTGTGTGTG